TTGTGCCCTTAAAATGAATTAACACTGGAGTACACGAAACACTGATTGCCACCTCTATCCGACTGCCCCCGTGAAAAACCGACCTTCAACTACTCCGGATACACAGCAATCTCGGGATTGCGATGCTGGAATATTGTCATTCAGGAAGCAGTTACGACCCGTATTCCATTCTCTCTTATCGTACGTCCAGGACAAACACCATGTTTTGCTATGACAAACTTCACAGCATTCTTCGGCACTTGACACTTGTTTTTGCTGACTTGGTCGCAGACTACTTAGAGAAACCATTCGTTTGGAATTATCAAACATGTTGCAACCGAGTGATTGACCTAGGGCGAATTAATAAATGTATTGTGGGCATTTCGTTAATCTGTATATTGTACGGAAATTTGACGGTGTGTGACGTGGTTATTGTTCAATTCTAAATAGTTTAAGTTAGTTTCTTAGTATAAGAAATAATACAATTTATTAATGTACAGTATGAAAATTAGTGTACACAATTATATCGATGGTATATTCCAGTGACACATAATTGCTATACTGGAAATTGGAATCGAACAAAGAGAAACAATGTGCTTGAAGGTTCAGTATAAATCAGCCCGATTGTAAAGCCAATTTGGCAGATTAGCGGCAGCCAACGACCTTTAGAAACACATGCATAACAGTAATCATTCAATTAGAACGTATATTTTTTTCTTTGACACTGAGATTACGGAGATCAAAAACATACAATGGAAAAAAAGTGTCTCACCTATAACGTGTTGTACTAGTAGAAAACATGCCAGTAAACGGACGGAGCATGATATCTCGTACATGTTTGAACTTTGCTGTGTATAGTGATGAATCGATGTATACGAGTAAAATACTTATGTGGCTTGGCGTGGAACGTCCTGGTGGAAAATGGGAGTGGTGCGTATTTCTGACTGAATTTAATCCATTATGAACACAATATTTTGTGTTGTATAACACAAACTCGATGGGAATGTGATTCTTGTGTATGTTTGAATGGCTCAGGAAACAAATAAATATACCAGTAATAAAAACATGTATTGTAATAATACACATAATATTTATTCTGCGTGTCTCCGCTAAGAATGGTTGACATTCCTGCTTGATACGTTGAAAATCGTACAAGGTACACTTACTACGTCTGTCGGTTATTACGTATGTCATCGTAGACAAAGCGATCCGTGTCATTCTTCCGCATTTACGTAAATTACGTCAAGTCAGATTTTCAACATTACCAGACTGTGTGTTGTATCAAATATAAATTCGTAAATAGAATACCCACATGCGTGTACTTGGGGAAAAATATATACATTTATTGGAATAGGACTTATTCAATAATGCTTGATGAATATTCGCATGTAAAAAATATTATTCTTAGAATAAATTTTATTGCATAAATATTATATAAGTTTTAAGTAGAACGTTTTTATTTTATACATGGAGTAGTATTAGTAAGGTCAATCTGCCCAGGGTATTGTACGTGTCTCAGAGATACTCAGCTCGGAGATACGTATGTAGTTAGTTCTTATTGTTGTCTAATAATGACGTTGTGTAGCCAGTTTCACTGTTCCTATAGATATTCGAAGAACATCGAGAAAATTATACAAACTCAGTCAATGATAAGGTATTTATCTTTCAGAACAAAATGTAATCGAAGCAAGTCACTCCCACGCTCGATTAACAAAGTAAGTTTAAATCAATTGTGATTTAACAAAGAACTGTTGTTATAATATAGTTACATATTTCTGAATATCCAGTATCATTTCGTCAACAAATCGAAGTATATATTACGAAAAGCGACACAGGTTAATGAACATGTCGCGGTTTAAACTGTTGATCACCACACTCGGATAGTATTGAACAAGTTTTTTTCTTATGATTTTTATAAATTTATTGGTTACATTCTTCATATCAATAACGCTGCTTTTGTTACTGTACTTTGACCAAATTGACTAATTGAACACACACTCGATGCACAATCTCATTCTTGATTTTACATCTCAATTGATGGTTTATGGGCATTCTTCGTTTACATATAAAATATTCATTCAAGCGATTGTAATATAGCGGAAAAAAAGCTCATTAATTTTTATGTAAGACATTCGCTATAATTTAATACACATGGCATTTGATTATACGTGCATATTTTCAGGAAGCTGTTATGAATAGAATATATAAGACGTTTAGTCGTCTCTTCATTTTTTCAATATTTAAAATTATTAAATATGTATAAGATAAAGCCCTGATAGGAGTTATCTTCTGGGATATATAATTCAACCCAACATAAAATGTCGAAGTCGCAGGCCGAGACATTTTGTCGTTATATTCTGTCGCCCACAACATTAATAAATATACATTTTTAGAAGAAGTATCATACTTTAAAATCAACTATCAAGTCCTGTCAAGATGCGTGCATGAACAAGTGTGCGTGGGCGTTGACCTTTTGGAATTTGTTGACATTGTTTTCAAGTAATTTGCATATTCCAAATGTGGCCACTGGGCACTGTGTGCAAGTCTAGAGCTGCACAACGATTAACCAATGAATATTTATGATCTGACTCAAAACATCTGATAGCCCGAAAGCCAATCACCGTTATAATCAATCATTTTTGTGTGATTTCGAACTCAACATGGTAGTTTCTTTTAGTAAAGTAAAACTTGTTCGGGGTTTCTTTTTTGAAGCCATGTGATCTGTATTTTATAAGAACAAAACGATTTGTCATGGGTTTAGTCTTGGTCTTAAGGCAGCTACGCAAACAAGTCATTCTATGTACATCAAATTCGGCAATGCAGCAATCTGATTGGATAAAAACACAAGATAGAATCAAATTCATTGCTTCAGAATTGTTTGTGCATGACCAGAGCCGTTGACAGGTGATCAGATATTCTATATTCCGAGAAAGTTATTAGAAGTCTTAAAAATTGAAGAGCTCAAATAGTATGCACTGACTTAAATTAGGTTAGAACGCTATGATGGGCCATAAATAGTCCGAAAATTAGTACTTAGTATATTACACAGGCGCCCGGGACGTTTCTTGGATAATAAAATGGACTTAAATTAAGATCGGCATAGTTAGTCCAGGCCGCCGGTACATTCCCTGACCATTCATATAATAACACAAAATTTTTTACCATGATATC